TGGAGAAGAGATTGAAGTGGAGATATTTGACTTAATGAACTAAACCACAACAGCAGAAAAGCAAAAAGCTGATTAGTAGAACAACTTCACACCATCTGTAGAGCACAGAGGTGGAAGGTTAGTGATGTGGGCTGATGTGGACAGGGACACCTCGGATATATTATGAGGACAAGAAACTCGTCTCTAGAATACCAGAGACATTTGATATAGTGTCATACAGAAGATGAAAGCATGAATATATTGCTGGTACAGACAGTCCTATAAAATGTTAAATTATTAGCAGTTAGTTTATCACACAGCTTATTTATTTTTCACAACCTTCATTTTAGAATTTGATGCTGATCAGATAACGGAAAACAGACCTTCTACTTTTACACTTGAAAGAGATGAAAGCTGTGATTCTTGTACTGTAATTATGAAAAAAAAACTTTCTTAGTGAATTATTGGATTATACCTCAAAGCTCAGGAAAATAGGTTCCCTGGAAAACAAAAATAAACTTGAAAAAAAAAACTCTGAGATGATGGAGATTATCTTTATAGTGTGAAAAGGAAAGATCTGAGAAACTGGCTGCTCTCTGGACAAGACGGATTCTCAAGAGATCTTTGAGATCACAGGGGAACCATTTGTACCTAGCTTCAGGCTAAGAGCAGCTAAGGATGCGTTAGGCGGCCAAATAAGCAATGGCTGCTGTAAAAGAGGTTAACACTGATGTTACTGCAGTGTCATCAGATAAGATAGAGAACGATAATCTTTCTGCACAAAAGATTCTCTCCTTTCCAGAAAACAGCTTACGGTTAGTTTGATGATATTTTTCACCCTGTTGGTCTAAAGCTCTATAAGGGAGCTCCGCTGGTCTTTAACACAACATTAAGCCTGGACTTATAAAGCCAGCATAAACAGGTTGTTTAGTTAGTGTTGGACAGTACAACAAAAGAAAAGCAACTGAACCAGAGATGGATCCGACTAAAAGACAGTTTATTTTATAGGAAGTTAAGTTAAAATTGATCTAATCAACCATAAATGAACAAACTGACCTCTTAGGGCCCCTTGGTAACTTTTTATGGACCTTTAGGAATTCACTCTAAAATACTCCTAAAATTAAGACCAGGTCAAAGAAGTTTTACAGAGTGCCGATTGGATCTCAGAAAAGCTTAAGGGCTTTAAAACAAATGCACCACTTGATGCAGCATTTGATCCCTACAGAAAAGATAGGAACCCGATGAAACAGCAACAGAAAAATCAGGTCTTTACCACCACAAACGTAGAAAGAATTAAAAGGACTTGGAGCAAAGGGATTTTGAAACATAAATTCATTTAGAAAGCTTAGATGATGCCGCTTTACATTCAAAAAAAGACTTAGAAATGCAAAAAAGAAAGAAATAATACAAGGGTCAACCTCAATTTCTCTTTAAATAGATACTAAGCAGCACCACAAACCCCAGCAGGGCAACATTTTGCTTTAGAGGAAAAGTCCGCTCATATTCACAATTCAAACTTCTGAAAGTACTTTAAAGGAATAGTAGACCCAAAACATGATTAGCCTTCATTTTCTACTCACCCCTATGCTGAACAACATTCTG